TTTGAAAGGATTATCCTAGTTCAAAGTATGGTCTCGACAGCCAGACTAACTGGTTCCTAGCCAGGGCTGCTCAACCCTAGCTGTGGGTCTCCAGGCAAGTCATTCAAATTCAGTGCCTCAATTTTATCATCTATTGTATAAGATGGGACTAATAAAAGTACCTACCTCATAGAACTCTTGTGAGGATTAAGCTCTTAAAGCAGTTGCCTGCACTGCATAAGTGCTTAGTACAATGCAGCCATCATTATCTCTACAATCAGCAATTAGCAAGTTGCTCCCTTCTGCTCTGCATTTTGCTCACCCTGCGGGTTTTCTTCAAACAAGCAGATGTTCCTGGGAGGCAGACTCTGCTTATTCAACTTTTTTGCTGAGGACTCTGGAGGACTCTGAGGTCCCATGGGGCCTCTCTCCAGGGTATCCAAGGGCAGAAGAAAAATGACAAAGTAGGTAAGTAAGCTCCTGCTGCACTCTTCATCCCCATTTCCCATGCACAGTGAGAACCAGCATGGGTCAGCCTAGCTGTTGAGCACCTCTGTGCATCAATGCATGTCCAGAGTCGGGAATGGACTTCTGCAACCCAGACCTGAAGCTAATCTCCATGTGGATGTCTGCAAACCCGGGGAGCCAGGAAAGGAGGTGGGGAGATGGGGCACTTGCTGAGTCATCTCAGAAGCCTCTCTGTCAGTCATTTGTTGAGGACAAAGTGCTGTCTAGGCACATCTGCCTCTCTCCTTCCTGCTCTAACATCTACCCCTGCAGTGAGCCCACCAGCAGACTCTCAGGTTGGGCTTACCCTAGGTCCTCTTTCTCATTCCCACGTGACCGTAGCAGAGATGGCTGCTGGATGCCAACACATCCTACTGTCCTGGAGCCCCCAGAATAGTGCTTCTCCCATAACCTCTCATGCTTGGTTTTGCTAAAGAGGCCATCATAGAATTTGGCTGTCACCAGGATAGAGGCATACCTTTTTTTGTCCAAGAAAGATATATAAATGTTAAAGCATTCTGTCATTTCATCATCATGTAGGAAGTCTTATAATAAAATTTCCAAAATTATCATCAGGTGTCAATTTTATTGCCAAACAAGGTAATTTGGTAAACAAAGTAATCCTTTATCTTTCCAACCACTGACTACCCCATGTTAGTAGGGGGAGACCGTTATTCCAGAGTCTCTTCCTTTGGAATGGCTGGAGGATTGCCACACAGAAAGAGATGCCAACAACACCAAAGGGGCTAAAATCCGAGCCTGGTGTCCAAGAAGCACCTAGCTTAAGCTCAGTCTACCCTAGAATTTCCTTTATCACCCTCCCAAGTTCAGAGTAACAGTACCCATAGAATGAGTGCTACTTGCTCAGGGATTTCCACTGATTAACTGATTTAACAACTTCCTGCCAAATAGGATCCACTGTCTCTCTTTTAAAGAGGACAACGGGGGCATCTGGAAGAGCAGAAAATAGTTCAAAGAAGTCAGGATGCTTGCTCCTTTGCCACACTCTTTGTTCTGAAGATGTGGCAACTACATGGACTGGGTTTCGAGAAGTTTGCAGATGTCATTCTGTTACACTGTGGTGTTCCTGCACATCAGCATGGTGGCCTCTTAATTTCACTTCCTAACCAATCTCTCACTCTGAGTGAGAGAACACACTGGTAGAGAAATGAAGAGGCAGCATAAAAATCTTTCGTCATCCATGAGGTGCAGTGAAGGATCTGGGAAATACAGCCACCATGCCTACAGACCAGAGCCCAAAGGAGTCGTGGGTTGGAGGTGGGTGGAAGCAATGGACCCCCACCAGCAGCCTCTCAATTTTCTAAAATTATCATCAGGTGTCAATTTTATTGCCAAACAAAGTAATTTGGTAAACAAAGTAATCCTTTATCTTTCCAACAACTGACTACCACATGTTACTGGGGGAGACCATTATTCCAGAGTCTCTTCCTTTGGAATGGCTGGAGGATTGCCACACAGAAAGAGATGCCGATAACACCAAAGGGGCTAAAATCTGAGCCTGGTGTCCAAGAAGTTTACCCTTTTCTGGAAGAATAAATGACTACAGGTTTCCTCACTCTGCAAGAATGCTGATGCTGGGAACATAGGGGGCATGTATGTACCCGCACATGCTCAGATACAGCCCTGTGAATTGCACAATTGTCTGACGCAACAACAGGCCATCAATACTGGACTGGTAAAGAGGAAGAAAGGCATGACCACTTCAAGATGGCAGCTAACTTAAAAACCACTTTGGAGAAGCTTTTGTTTGTTCTCACATGGGATATGACTGTATGTGATGAACTGGGAAGTGATGACACTGCAAATGATGATGTTATCAGTGGCCCTCAGAAAGCAATCATCTCCCACCCTGTGTTCTACTCCCTGCTCCTAACTCTACCCTCTGTCCTGGCACTAACTTACTGCCACCAAAGCAGTGCCAGGGACAGAGTGAAGAGCTAGGAGCTTTTTGGGGAGATTCAGGAGGCTGGGCGGAATCACCTGCAGGGAGAGTGTGTGCAAGAGAGCTCTGTGTAACAGGACACATATGTGAGTCGAGGGGGTGCTCTTCTGTGAAGACATGCATAACCAAAGTATGTGATTGGGCATGGCCCTCAGGTACTATGCCAGATACCCAAAGCTAAATGTGCTGCACATAGGGCCTACACATCATTTCTAGAACCAAGGGTTGTCTGCTGCTAGACCTCTGAAAGCCTCTTTTCAGGCTGTGAAAGAAATGAAGCTTCCTTACACCCCTCTGTCAAGTGTTTCTCTAGGACAGGAAGGGTGGAAATGTCACACAGTGGAGACAAGGCAAGTCTACATGGCAACCCATGGGCTCAGTCGCTTGGAAGGCTTAAAAAAATGGGATATTTTGGCTCACTAAACTTTCTCCTCAGTTCAGAACTGACCAGAAATTTCTTTTCCTTGAGACTTTTAAACTAGCAATGTGTCTGAAATGTTGACTTCCTTGTCTTACCAAGAACAGTCGAATGATGGCACTGATATCCGGTATGGAGAATTAGGGTTAAGTGTAGCCTGAGGCTCACTTCTCTAGGTCAACGATAGTTACTTATGCTGCATCTCTTAAAGGCATGGCAGATACTGCCCTTGAAAGTGATTAATCTCTCTCCCTTTCTTTTTACTGTAATTTAAAGTTGATTAAGTGCATGACATTATGAATTTGACCTAATTAATCAAGGCTTATCCAAGGGAAGGAGAGCAAGAGTGACTAGATGATGGTTGATTGGCAGATGATTTGTCCCCAGGAAACTGAAAAGGCTTGAAGTTAGTGCCTTGAGGGACCATCTAGTCTGCCTGTGAATGGATTTCCTGGTGGGAAAATGGTTCAGCCCAATGGGGAAACAAAGATGTCTCCTACGACACAGGAGCATACACATCTCAGGGTCAACGTGGACAGAGACTGCTCCACCAGCACCACGAGCAGTTTCCAGCATGTAGCAGGGATTCAATGAACATTATGAATGAATGGAGGCCTGCCTACCTAGTACATATACATAGACTTCCTCTGGTCGCTCTTCTGTCCATTAGCCCCCCTTCCCTCTATTCCTATCTCTCTTCAGGACTTACGTGCTTACATATGTGAGGTGCTAAACCACAGGCTGTTGGGGATTCAGTAGTCAATAAAACAGCCCCTTAGTGGAGGCAACTGTTTTAATCAGATTTTTCAGGAGAAGGAGTAAGGGGTAGACTCTAAAGAATGACCTGAACTCAAACTATATTTTCATATATTTCACCACCCCAGTCTGTTAGCTTTTGGCAAATACTGGTCACTGCCTCCATTGAAGACTCCTATCTGTGTGCTTCTAAAAGGAAACTTTATCTTCCTGTCCAGAAGTGGTGTAGGCATTGGTCACTGGATGAGTAGGACAAAGGCCTAGCCTCATCTACCATTTCATCTGAAATGATTGTGTCCTGGTTGCTTCCTTAGTAAAGAACTAAACTAAGGTTTTTTTCCAATCCTTCCCATTCTTCCTTATCCTACTTAACATTGTCTTTTTTCTTTTTAAAATTTGTTTTATTGCTAAAGGGAAAGTGCATTTACCAAAGAGAGAAAGCACCCTCTGATTGCGGTCATGCTACAATCCCTTTTACTCCATTTCTCCACCCCATGAGGATTTTAAGATCTCATGCACATGGACCCAGTGTGTTTTCAAGCCTCTAAGGTAAGGAGTCAAACCCCAGTCAGCCTTGTGGGATCCAGATCTCACACTTGGTGTTTAATCTCTGCCCTATGGGACTGGTGGCATTCTCTCTCTCTCTCTTTTTTTTTTTTTTTTTTGGGGATTTTTTTTTTTTTTTTGGTTGCACTCCCTTAGAGAGAGATTTTTGCTATAGGGTGTGTATCCACTCACCAGAGAGACAGAGAGACAGAAAGTGAGAAGTCACTCCCTAGGGTGGATGGCCACACCACAATCCCTTCTCCATTCTCCTCTCAGGATTTTGGGCACACATGGTTGGTGTAAGTTTTTTAAGCTGCTGGGTCTGGGATTCAAACTGTGGCAGGCCATGTGGGCGTCAAGCGACATAATCATTATGCCATTCGTTGGTCCTGGCATTCTCTTTTTTAAATAAGAAAAAGGTCTAAGAGGTCCAATGAAGAGTCCATGACCACGTAAAGGCCACAGTCCCCTAGATGTATAAGAGAGGTTCCAGGACTCACTAAGGCGAATTCTGGGCACTGGTCAGAACACCATTGAGGGATGATTCAGCCCAGCAGAATATACATCCTCCACCCTTCATCTCTGTTCCCCTTCAGTGTTCTCTTGCTACCTTTCACAATAAGAAATTACTTCTCTCTGGCATCGCTTCAAAGAAAAGAATATTAATAAAGGACCCAAAAAAGACTCTGGAAATTGCTCTTCCATGGAGAGCAGCATGGCCACTTTTCCTAGAGACACTTATCCTAGAATACAGTCAGTTTATATTCTAGAAGAATATCCAGAATTGGAGGAACCATTCTTTACTGTCACTAGGTTTGGCTTCTGGTTTTGCTTTAATTCTACTATATAGCATTAATTTTTTTTTTTTTTTTTTTTAGGACTCTAAACGTTTAGCCTTTACACAGTGCTTCTTTCTAAGTGCAATTTAGCATCTCTAATTTAGTGACATTTAGACCTGGGCATCACAGGCGACACTTGATCCACATTGTGCTTTTCAAGACCAATCCTTTCTGCTCTAGTCATAACGGTACATTACGCTAACTGTAGTAGAGTCATATGACCTTCCTATTTATAGTGACTGTTTTTACAGTTCCAGAGTGACAAAACTAGGAACGGGAATGTCACTCAGATTCTGATTCAACATCTTCACAGTGTTGGTGGGCAAGGGAGGGCAGGAGTCAGGTTCCTCAGGCACAGAGAGGTATCTACCCAAAGTTACTCAGTAAGTCAGAAAACAGACTGGGTATAGTGCTAGGTAAGAAAGATCACCTCTGTACCTGTCAGGGCTTATCCCAAAAACCAGATTGTCTTCTGAAATGAATGCACACACTTCGGAAGTAAATAATTTTAGGGTGAAACTTCTATGAAGGTTTCAAAAACCCTCTAGCAACTCAGGAACCACAATAGAAGAACTAGAATCACGTTCACCTTTTAGATGAATGCTCCTGACTCACAGACAATCCCAATAATCACAGTCCTCTGACAACCTCGTTTTCAATAAAAATTAAAATTTAAGGGGAAAAAATAATCGCCCACAGAAGAAATAAACCTGGGTATGTAGTTCCTTTCCTGGTTTCACGACACCTTACATGTAAGACCTACATGCTTTCTTCTACACAATATTCCTCCTACACTTGTTGGCATGTGATGGGGTGGGACTGAGGAGTTGATAAATGTGTGTGTGTGTGTGTGTGTGTGTGTGTGTGTGTATGTGTGATAACCAGCCATTTAAGGATAATTCTGCCCAGCAGAATATACATGAAATACGTCTAATGTAATAGTTCTCTACCCTGATTCCTTATTTATTTATTTATTTATTTTTGGTTACTTTTCATTTCCTGATCCTGATTTAACATAAAAAGTGATGGTTTACTTCCACCATCACTAATGAAGGCCGAGTCGATGGATGGATACGGCTGGGGATGAATTTCAGCTTCATGGAAGGCAAGTGCTCTATGGGGTAAAACTGCCTGATGACCTTCTGGATGCGGGAGGGGCCTGGCATTGCAAGTATTTTCCCCCCAGAAGCTAAATGACCATCTGTCCAGTGCCAGGAATCCATCTTCCCAGGAACAAACTAGGCTAACAGATTTCCTCCCGCCTCCCAACTCCAGGTCAAGAAAGGCACAGGGAAGACCAACGAATAACACTGAAGGGGTGCTTTGGATCCCGGAAACCTTGAGGTACCAGAAGAGGAATACTGATAGCCCCATCTGGAGGATGGGAAAGGTGAGGCACCAGGAGACAGGTTAAGTACTTTCCATCATAGATGAGGGGGAGACTTTTTCTTGGAGAGGAGAAACACTGTCAACAATAACGAGCACAACTCTCAGCAAAGAGGCAATTCCAGCATTTTGGCCAACACAGTAAAGCAGCCGAGGACATTCCGTCCTCAGAGCAGCTGAGTGTATCCCCTTCACAGAGGGGCTCTTCCACTCCACGCTCTCTAGGGCTCATCCTTGAGACTGCAACCAGGGCTGGAGATTAAGCAGGAATAGCCTGAGCAGGCACATAAGGAAGCTCTGCTTCTTAAGGCATGGCTCCTGTCTGCAAGGAGCGGGCCCCTCACTGGGAGGTGGGCATCACGCCCTGCCTCTTCTGAAACACCCTGCAAGAAAGCTTAATGGGGTGGAACACTGCTGCCTGAGGAACCTGCCTCCTCCAGGGGCAGGGGCTTCCTTTAAAGCTAAACAGCATCATCAAACCACTCCATTTCTTGTGCCACTTGGGAGAATAAGTAGAGAGAAAAGACACAATTGATTATTATCTGCAGATGATTGTCTAACTAGAAAACCTGGGAGTCTCAACGGAAAAACTCAGAACTAAGATGTGAATTTGCTCAGGTGGCCAATTAAAAATACAGCATGTAAGAATCTACCCTTTAGGGGGTCATTTGGGCCTGGCTGGCCACCATTGAAGAGCTGTGCTTTTCTGGGAAGCCTCCAAGCTTTGTGCAACTTTCTGTATTTAGATAGTCGGAGGTGATCCCGGGAGCTGCTTCCTCTCTGTAGCAGCTGAAAGACGGCTCAGTGTCTGAGACCAGAAACTGTCTGGGGACAATTGCCTCTGCACTCTCTCTTACGTGCCCTCGCCCCAGTCCCAACTGGCCCCTTCCCCTCTAGGTCCTCTCTATTCCAACCCAAAAGACAGAAAAGTTTGGCAAGGGCCTGTGTGGAAGCCACCAGGGGCAGATGTGGACAAAGATTGTGCTTTGTCATCTCCAGATAAAGTAAGTTTAAAAACAAAGGGGCAGACTGACAGGTCCCATATGTGGGTCCTCTCATTGCCCCATTGGTCAGAAGCCTGGAGAGGCCACAGTGCTGGGCTTCGACTGGGGACTCCAGGGTTTCGTCAAAGTGGCCGAGGGAAGCCCCACCAGACTGTGCATGCCAGTCTGGCTAGTGAAGAGGACAGTCATTTGCGGTCCAGGCTGGCGTGTAACTGGGCTTCCCGCACCATGCGGTCGAAGGAACGAGTGTTGGTTTCCTCGCGCACCTTCTCGCGCACATGGAAGGAGGCCCGCGCTGTGGAGCGCGCGCTCTCCAGCGCGCTGCGCCGCTCCCGCGATAGCTGCTCGCTGCGCTCCAGCTTGCGCCCGATCGCCTGGAGCAGCTCCCGCCGCCGGCAGTCTTCGTCCCGCTCCACCTTCTCTTTGTTGGCGCGCTGGGCCCGCTCCTTCTCCAGCCGACTCTGGCCCACGCGCCGCGCCTTCTGCTGCACAGCCTCCTCCGCCACTTGCGTCGCGTGTTGTAGCCGTCGCTCCCCAGCGCGGGCCAGCGCCTCCAGGTGAGCCTGATGCTCCCGCTCTTTGCGCTCCGCCGCCTCCTTGGCCCGCCGACTCTGCAGCTCCTCCCGCCGGGCCCGCTCCCGCAACTCCCGGGCGCGCTGCTCCACTAACTGCTCGTAGTTCTCCTGCGCGCGGCCCAAGCTGGCCTCCAGGGAGCTCCGCAGGCCCTCTCGCTCCTCAAGCTGCTGCCGGGCCCGGCCCTGCAGCAATGCCTCGTGGCGCGCCCTCTCGGCTCGGCTCAGCTCCCGCTTCTCCCGCAGCAGCTGGCCCTCCTG